CGACATAGCTCCACCTCCGCAAGCTCCCATCGACAGCTCCATAGCCTACAACACGTCACAGTCGCCGTTACCGTACGACCCTCATCATCATGGCGCCACTCACTGCTCAGTCCGACGAGAAGACCCATCAAGCGCTGCTCGACAAGCTCGACATCTATGCCGTCCACAAGCCATTCCGCAACACCAACTGGAAGCCAGCGCAGCGCCGCAACAAGAACCTCAAGCAGGTCCTCGGCGAAGCATCGCGCAAAGAAGCCTCGATGATGAACACACAAGCCAACAGCGGCGCGTCAACGCCTGTGATCGCGTCTGAAAGCGGCTCAACACCAGCTGGCATTGACCGACCACCGAACATCGCGCAAGCCGCGCAGAGCCTCGATAGGCTGGTGCTCGAGAAGAATGGACGCGCAGCTGCAGGCAACGCGACCGGACCTGCACCTACATACACGAACATCGAGTCTGCACCAAGCTTCCACCCAAGTGCTCAGAAGAAGTACTGCGACATCACCGGGCTGCCTGCGCCATACACAGATCCGAAGACGAGACTGAGATATCACAACAAGGAGATGTTTGGGACGATCAGGACAATGCCGCAGAATGTGTATGAAGGGTATCTGGCGGCAAGAGGCGCGCATACTGTGCTGAAATGAGCCAACACGCTATACCACACAAAAGCCACATCATCAGTGTTGCGTTCAAGCTCACACAGCTCAAGATCAGCCTCCAGACCCAGCATGAACCGCAGCTATAAGCCGCAGTCGGTCACAGGCACTAGACCAACGCGGTCAGCAAGACACGGCAGCGACAGCATGATATGTATGACCATCAAAGTCAAGCACCTTCCACCCACGCAAGCCCCTTTCAAGGCAAGGTTCAAGAAGGCGCTCCGGCTTAATCGTGATCCTGTGTTGTTCTTCGCCCATCAGACGGGATACCAGGAGCTCGAGAGAAGGCTTCCTAGTTACAGCAGCACGAAAGGCATACCGTTGTCAGGGCGGTTCTACATTGTTTTTACACGACAAGATCCTGTATCATAGTACCAAAAGAATAGACATGGATTCGTGTTGGTACTCGGTCTTGGCGACTGGACTGTGGTGTTGTTGAGGACAAGACAGCCAGGCTCAAAATTCTGAACTCCCGCGAAGCTCGACGCTAGCAGGGTGGGGCCGCGTAGTGCAGACCGAGGCGCGTCAACAGCTGCAGGAAGAAGGGACACGAAACAAAAGTTGTCAGGCACCGAACAACTACCCCAGAAACACGCGCACCGACACAGCTTACGATCGCCGTTCCCGCATTCTGTCTTTCTTCAACACCAGCATCCTATACTTTACGGGCCCTCAGCCCCCCTTTACACTCAAGATGCCTACCATGTGGCTTTCGGACACCCAAAGTACGCCTCTAAATCGCTCAGCACATGGCTGTATACTAACGTACAAACAGAGATTGGGGTCGCCTTCTGCTCAGGAGGTATGTACGCTATTGCCCACAACTGCCAGCCATCCTACCAAGCACGCGACTGTGTCGAACACAGAAATGACGACGAAACTATGTAGGCGGACTCTTTCTCACGGGCGGTGTCATGATGTTCTTTGACCGCGCCATGTACGTACAGCTTTCCTCGGAATGTTGTTGTCTTTAGCTGACATGTAGCAGGCTGGCCATGGGCAACGTACCTCCCCCTCTAGCTGCCCTTTTACGCGCCCTCCTGACGAACGACAGATCCTCTTCCTGATCGGCCTCACTTTAATCATCGGCACCCAGAAGACACTCGCGTTCTTCGCGCGACGACAGAAGTGGAAAGGAACGGCAGCCTTCGCTGCTGGTATCACACTTATCCTCATGCGCTGGGCGTTCTTCGGATTCTTGATCGAGCTGTATGGCATCCTAGTTCTGTTCGGCGACTTCTTCGCTACAATAGCAGGGTTTGCTGGAGGTATCCCGATCGTAGGACCGTATATTGCCAAGGCACTCAACAGCCTGGGTGGCGCAAGTGCTGCTGCAAACGGCGAGAGCGTGTAGGGCCATCACCATGGCAATCGTCGCCGAACACATGAAAAGCTCCGGGAGGGAGATCCAAGGATGGTCCGGTGGGTGTCGACTGCAGCAAATGAAAGAGGGAACGAACACCACCGAACTTCACCGAGTTGTGTATTACGAGCTACGATCTGGAGCCTGGCGCACCTGTGATCCAGCCATAGACGCGGATTGGGACATGATACCATCAATATACGATACGAGAGATGATTTAGGAGTACAACGCCAGGTGCGCTTGTCTCAGCGCAACAAAGACCGGAGCGATGCTTCCTTGTTGCACAATTCACATTCTTTCGAAGTGCATGGCTGCGAAACAAAGCACGAGGTGCTTTGTCGCAGAATTCAACGACAACTCAAAGTCGAGAATGTCCACTCACGCTTGACACAACCACAGCTCCGTACACGCAACATGTCCTCCGGCTATGGAGACGGAACCCCACTGCCCCCACGATGCGCGCGAAGACTTCATGCAGAGAAGAAAGCTAAGTCGTTTCGACAAGATCCATACATCTTAGCGTATCGTTACAGAGACTATATGAAGGAGCACCTGATCCGGAAGAGCTATGGGGACAAGCAGTACTTCAATGAATACTACCAGAACCTTCTAGCTAACCAGCCAGAGCCTGACCTCGGTGCAACAGACGACCGTTCACGCGCAGTACGATATGCCAAAGAGCATTTCGAGTGCTACTATGAGATCAGAGACATTGCACGCATCATAGGATGGCTGCATGAGGCAAAGGAGAAGGAAGACCATGCCGATATGACGACGCTGCTCGAGCGAATTCGCAGTCCATCGCAAAGTCCGCACGAGATCAGCAATCCGTAATAGCTCACACTGCCCGATCTTCCGTCCCCGATGCAACGTGCTCGTGGATATCCAATTAAGCGCGTTTCAGCAGTACGCAGCGGGACTGGTCGCAAGGTTGCGGCACTGCTTTAGGTGCAGCAGCAGCAGAGCCGTACGCTATGCCCCTTTCTACGCCACACGAGATCGGGAGTTTCTCCGGGAACTATTGCAATTGCATCCAATTCGATGGTGACTAAACTTGCGCAAGGGTTTTCATTGGTGGTGGTTACATTCCTCAATATTGGCCGAATCCGGAAGCGCAACGTCGACCCAGCGAACTCCACAGTGCTCAACTTTGAACAAAGACGTCTTCCGGATGCGTGTGGCGTTTATTTTTACCCTCGCGCTTCACCGTGAGTCCGTCGCAAGCACTAGCAAATGTCGCAAACGGTCGAGGTGAGGTGTTGAGAAACATTTTCCTATATAATGAGTGTACTGAAGCGGAACATGGAAGAGCATCACTCGCTGAACATCTGCTTTTGAACATACTCACTTTCGTTCTCAGTTCGGAACAGACTATAAAGCTTTCGAGATGGCCTACCAAGTTTCTTCCATCGTCTATCCAGCTTACTCTCCAGTGGCTCCTCCTCCGGTCTATTCGGCATCTACACCCGTCTACACTCCTAGTCCTCCTCCTCCGCCTCCAGTCTACTCTGTCTCTAGCAAGATGCCTTCCACGACTACCGCCTACGTCACCTCGGCCCTGACCCTGACATCCTATGTCACTGCTCAGTACAGCGCCTCTCCCGTCCCCAAGAAGTGTGACAAGGACATCATTGGTACCGTCCAGAAGCTTCCTCAGTCTGTCCAGACCTACGTCTTCGAGGCCATCTCCAGCAGCAAGTGCAGCCCCTGCGACTACGCCTGCATCTGCGGTGACCTTCACGGCAAGGATGTTGCTGGCAAGGTCAGCAAGGGTTGCAGCAAGGCCGACTACGAAACTTACATCTCTTTCGAGAACGAGGTCTGCGGTGCTCCCCAGCCTTACCCTACCTCGATCATTGTCACTCCTACTCCTTACCCCGCCGACAACAAGACCCAGGAGCTGACCACTTACACCACCACCACCGTCTGCCCTGTCACTACCGGCGGAAAGGTCACCACGACTACCAGCACTATCACTGTCACATCTTGCAAGGCTTACTGCACCGCTCCTCCCCCACCACCTCCTCAGCCTCCTGTCTACCCTACCGGCAACAACGGCACCACCACTGTCACTTCTACCAACCAGATCACCTCGACCGTTCGCGTTCCCGGCAGCTCTGCTCCTCCTGCCGCTCCCTCTGCGCCCCCTGCTGGACCTCCTGCTGCTCCCCCTGCTGCTCCCCCTGCTGCTCCCCCTGCTGCTCCCCCTGCTGCTCCCCCTGCGGCTCCCCCTGCGGCTCCCCCTGCTGCCCCTCCTGCGGCCCCTCCCGCTGGCTCCTCAGGCGCTCCACCTGCCACTTCTCCCGCCTCGCCCAGCTCTCCCGGCAGCGCCCCCTCCGCCAGCAGCCCTGGTCTTCCTCAGTACACCGGCGCCGCTGCTGCCAACGCACCCGCTGTCCTCCTTGCTGGCGCCGTTGGTATTTTCGGCTGGGCTTTCGCTGCTATGTAGAGTGAGCTTGTAACTGAATTGGCGTGCGAGGAGAGTAGATTTCTTATGTTCAGGTGGTTATGGGATTGGAGGAGGGAATGGGGATGGTAATGAATGGTGGTTGGGTTTTCGGTAATTGCTAATTCGTAATCGTAATTGAGTATATACATGGGAATAGAAGAAAAGGTTAGAAAACTCAGGTCGTTTGTTTACTACAGTAGCAAGTAGTGATACCCTCTGAACTCCTGATCCGCCGATATGTTGCCCGGATAGGGCCGAGCGAATAAGTGATCGGCCACTGTCCGACCTCCTCTCACTCCATGCTTATACGCTATCATCGCACCATGCACATTCAAACAAGGGGAACACAAATCTTGCACCAGCAAAAACGAAGTTGCGGTTCTAGGAGTTAAGATTAAGTTGACGAGAAGTTCTAGACCTGAGGTACCCCACCCGATCCACATCCACCAAGTAAAAATTTAACCTCGACATCAAGACGACTGTCATCTTCACCACCACCTCCAGGCCTCTGAGGCAGCAAAATGCATCGGCCGGGAATCGAACCCGGGGCTAGCCGAAACTGTCCTGTCACTGTGAAGGATGGCAACGGCTAATTTTACCACTAAACCACCGATGCGGTCATGTGATTTGATGAAAGAGGAGTTGGATATATACAAAATATACACTTAAATGAAAACCGATCATCCTTCTAATGGCACGCGATCTGTTTTCATATCGCTTTTCCATCACACAGCTCTCTAGTTCCAATAGTCGTGTTTGCTGCGAAACAATAAGACAGGGAGACACCTACGTGAACACGTGGCATTACCGAGGACTACCCCGAGAACTGCTGCGCTATTGTACTTTCTTTCTTTTTTATACATGAGGAGAGAATCAACCACGCTCTGGGCGGTATTCTCAAGAGGTGTTCAGGGGGCAATGGGTTTTGTCATAGGACTACAATGTCGGCCTCGATAGCGGACTATCATCTCGCGAGAGATGTAAAGCAGCTCAACTCCCGACGCCTCATAGTCATTTCCGGTTCAGAATTTCGGCGCTTTGTCCGCGGGTAGTTCTACAGAATTCTCGTTTCGGAGGTATTCAGCAGAAGAAGAGAGGCCTGTGGTCAGCTACTTTCCCATTTGACGTACTGTGTAATCACATTCAGGCCAAAAGCTCATCGTTCGTGTACGATCAATCAATCTGGCCAAAGAGTCTAATTTACATGAACAGTGTCACGACAATTTCCGCTTCAAATGGTTCAGCTTTCCCCACAGGGTTGAGGCAGAAGTGCCACCGGCACATATACCGCATCCCAAACCAGTATTCTTCGCGACTGTCCTCGTTCCTCGTGTTGACTGCAAGAGGTGTATATAGTAAGCACAAAGGCAATCGCACTTCGGTGCCTGCTTGAGTTTCTTCGGCGCAAAATTTCGGAATTGATAACTATGGCCATTCGAACGGTGTTAAGGGACCTTTGTGGCTTTTTGCCCATACTATTTATTTTCCTCATAGTCTCGAACCTCACTGGACAAGTCAAAGCGGCGCTGATCCAGCGCCACTAGTGTACAACAACAACGTCTACCCCTTCATCGGCCACGATGAGGACGGCTCAATCGATTTCAACATGCGCGACTGGCGTCTGTTCTCGTCGGCTGACACGGCCAACTGGCAAGACCATGGCGTTGTAGTGAGTTTGGCTACCTTCAGCTGGGCGAGCTCGCGAGCTTGGGCCGGTCAGGTCATTCCTCGCAACGGCAAGTTCTATTACTACGTACACGTCCAGCAGAAGAGCGGTTCATGGCAATTAGTGTGGCAGTCAGTGACAATATCCTTGGTCCGTACAAGGATGCTATTGGCAAACCTCTGATCGCGAACAACAAGATCTATCCGAACGTATACATCGACGACAACGGCCAGGCCTACCTGTACTGGGGTAATCACAACCTGTGGTATGCGAGGCTCAACACGGATATGATTTCCATCAGTGGCAGCCCTGTCCAAGTTCAGCTCACCACTGCGGACTTTGGAGCCCGCCGGAGCTGTACAAACTCACAACCGACTTCGTACGAAGAAGGCCCCTGTATTTACAAGCGCGGCAGTCTGTGATTCCTCGTCTACGCCGTAAACTGTTGCTTGGAAGACGTTCGCTATTCCACAGGCCCAAGCATTACAGGCCCGTGGACGTACCAGGGCCCCGTCATGGCGACCGCGGGCGCAAGCTTCACCAACCATCCCACTGTCATCGACTTCGCTGGCTCTTCTTACTCTTTCTACCACAATGGCGCGCTCCCTGGTGGGAGCGGGTACACACGCTCTGTCGCTGTGGAGAAACTCACCTACAACTCTGACGGCACCATTCCAACCCTCAGCATAACCACTGCCGGCGCTCCCATGTTTGGTACGCTGAACCCTCACACGCGCCAGGAAGCCGAGACCATCGCGTTCTCCAGTGGTCTCAAGACAGAAGTGTGCAGCGAGGGCGGTATGGCGGTTTCGTTCATTGACAACAATGATTACATCAAGATGAAGGGCGTAGCTTTCGGCATCGGTGCGAAGACTTTCGGTGCTCGCGTAGCTTCTGCTGGAAGTGGTGGAAAGATCGAAGTGCGCATCGGTAGCACGAGTGGCACATTGGCTAGAACTTGTACTGTGGATGTGACTGGCAGCTGGACTGTGTGGACGACCGTGTCTTGTCCCATCAGCGGAGCGACTGGAACGCAGGATCTCTTTTTGAAGTTCACAGGAGGTTCGGATTACCTTTTCAACTTCAACTGGTGGCAGTTCAGTAAATGAGTCTCGTAGTCGTTTAGAGAGACTAGACAATCACAGCGCTTATATTCAATGCCACTCAAAGGAGTTAGCCACTGTAACAAGAATCTCAGATGTTTGAATCCGTCGTTTATGCAGCAGATGCAGTCGTGTGTGGAGAGTGGAAGTGAGAAGAAAGAGTGCTCTACTGAGCTACGTACCCCACTCGCCGCACTCCGATCTCGCCGTCAATCTTGTCCGAACACCAATCAGCCTGCCACCACGAAGCTGCTGCGCTCCCCAAAACAAAGTAGACTACATAAGGCTTTGCGCGAATCTCTTTAACCCTAGTCGAAATGAATGCGCCACAGCTCTCGATCGACGCCAGCCTGGAAGGAGCTCCTTGTGTGCAACATCGAGATGTTGTCATTGACAATCAGGTCTCCTTCTTGCCACGAATGCCAGTAGCATATTCTCCGATCATGCAGCAATGACTCCAGAACATCGCACACGCTACCATCGCCATTCTCAATCGCCACCTCAGTTGGATCAAATCGCGTCTTCTCCTGCGGCCAACGCTCGTGGTATCTGAGGCAGGGTCGTCCGGTCGATGGATGCGCGGCGATGAGCGGCATGTTGCCAATGACAGACTGATCGAAAGATGGCGTCTTCACCGACCAAGTCAAGGACTCGAGATACGGCAATGGCTTGTCCTTTGGCAGATGATCGAGCAGGAGCGCAGATGATGAGAATAACGTGTATCCAGTGCGTGCAGGGCTGGGCGTGACTGAAGTGAAGTACTGAAAGCGCGGCGGATTGGGCACCAGATATGCGGAGCCGTCGTCTCGAGTTCGCTTCTGCGTCTTGAACATGCCGTCGAAGTGGAATGGCATCCACTCATTCGCCAAAACGTTGTTCAAGCCCTGACCTTCAGCTCCGCGATCCTTAACTTCGAGCACGAGGCCGAACTTCCATGGAGTAGGCACGCCCAGTTCGTAACACTTTGCGACATATGCATCACGGTTCTTGGTCTGCGCAAAGCCCCTCAAGATGACAGGGGAATTCTGCTCGGCCAGTTGCCGTACCTTCTGCGCGTCGATGTCTCGAATGGTAAGTGACTTAGTGCCTCCAGAAGGTTGGATCAGCAGCCCGCACGGGTATGTCGGTTCGAAAGTCACTGGAGTTGACGGGCTCCATTGGTACAACTGCGACCGTTCACGGAAGTAGCTCGGCCTGCTATCTTCGTAAACGAGCTCCAAGTTTGCGTCGTCTTCGAAAGTCTTGCGCTGACCTGCAATCACAGTTCCATCGAGCAAGATTGCGACAGTGCTGTGCCACGGCGTGATGGTCTTCTGGGTCGGCAGTACGTTGATCGAGATCTTGTCTTCGCCAGTACTGGGATGAATGGAAAGCCGTATGTGATCAGGGTAATTCTCCCGAACTGCCCTAGCAAATGCCTCACCGCGGTTCAGCATACTCTTTGCGATGAGCTCGACGCCTCTTTTGAAAGCGCTCTTCGTTCGCCCAGGTCCGATCGGAAAAGTGTTTGCCAAATCCAAGGAGAGGAATTTCAGGTACCCGCAATACGTCAAGCGCTTGTTCTCGTCTTTCTTGACATACGATTCATTGGTGATCGCATCCCAATTAAATTTGCCGTAGCGGTGCATCAGCGCTAATCGAATCGATGGTGCGGTGGCGGCATATGCCATTTCGTCAATCTCATCATGTAGAAATGGGATCCCGAGTAGGTCCCTGAGTCGAGCAAACTCAATGTGCCTGTAGTCCTTCAGCTTGGCCAGCCTTCGCAGGCTTTGACCATAGGACCAAACAGTGTGATCGGGTACGCCCAACAGATCTGACATAGGTCAGTACGTAAACGCCGCGCAGGGCAGACTCACTAACCGTTGTAGACTAGACCATCAGATACGATAGTCAGGATAGCGCCAGGTGAGTAAATGTCTTCGACCGCTGCGCATAGACCGTTAAGATGCGCAAGGGCCACGTCCTCAGCCTTGTCTGGCAGCGTGCCCAAGACTTTGACTTCGCTGTTCGGACTCTTGAAAGGAAACGCGGGTAGAACCATGCGGATACGCTCGTTTGCCTTCACTGCTCGGTAAATCCGGCCAAGAAACTTCAAAGCCCCCTCATCGCTACGATCTTCGGCGTCTTTTGGAAGAAGAGACTTGTACCGCAGGATGACGTCGAGGATGCGTTGTGCGGTCTCCATAGCATTTGTTCGAAGATGCTTCGGTATGCCATCATCCGTTGATGGGGGGGTATTTGCGCCAAAAAGCAATGGCATTGTATTGACGGTCTGTTTGGTTTTGACTGATGGAGACCAGAGAAGTGGCGACGCTTCCGGCGAATGCTTCACTCGGACTTGAAGCTCTCAAGATTGTTACTCGGGCTTGAGGAGTATGACATGAATTTATTGACCGCGAACCGACACCTCTTGTTTCACTACTCAATTCTGATTGCCACAAGCTCTGGCCGACTTCGACCAACCGTGATCATCGTGTGACAGACTTGGTCCCGAGGTCCGCCCATCTTGACCCTTTCCTTTCAATCAATCTTGGAAGCAACCCTGACTGTTCCAATTGCCACAACGAAGGATTCGACGGTTCACCATCGAGACCTGAGTTTAGAAGGCTTCGGCCTGTCCAGATACAGGTGTGACCGAGCGCTGTGCCCAGACTGCAATCAGGAATGCGAGGCAACCTTCCCGATGTATACCCACAACCGTTACGTGATGATCGATAGACATACCTCATGTGTCCCGGAATCCCTGTATGCCTTCGGGTTGTCCCGATGGCATCAACGGCGCACAGGCCCAAGTAGGCAAGGCTAGGGAACGGCTTCGTTCCGCTTGCTTACCTATGCAAACAC